TTCAGTAATGGAGTGCTAAGTGCCCTCCTCGGTCCCATTCTGTTCTCCTGAGCCGCCAGTGCTGATGACTGAGTCTTTCACTCCCACTTTACCGGAAGCGTGCCAACACACCCAGCCGTGGGGCCTTTCCGATCTTCCTTGTGGCACAGGACCACCTGATGCTTGTGGCTGGCTCTGCAGCTGGTTTTAAGGAAATGGATTTGATCCAGCTGGCGGAGGGAAGGGTGTGGGTTTGGGAGTTAGTTGAGTGTGGGGCTGTCATCCTTAAACGTGTCTTTGAAGCATGTCAACCACCCAGTTGGGCCTCCCTGTAAACCAGGGCAGACACCCAAGCATCTACTGTGTAGTTATAGAACAGAGACTTGGAGCTTCAGTTTTGTGGGTCTCCTGCCCCCCTGAACCGAGGAGAGCATAGATGCTTAGAACCCTGGCAGCAGGGGAACCCCAACTTGCTCCTATTTTATTCTCCAACCTCCTCACAGAAGGTCTGGGTGAATCTCTCATGATTTCACATACAGAAGATTCCAGAGTTGCATAAATCAAAGATAGCCACAGTCAATATTTACTAAACACCGTGTGCAAGCACTCATCTGGGCACTTGAACAACCCTGTTATGACATGCTTTGGATCCTTCTCCGAGTACAGAGATAAAACCCAAGCACATGGGCAGTAAGCCTATTTTCTGAGGTTGCTCAGCCAGTCATCTATAAACCTTTGTTTTTATTTGGAGACAGAATCTTATTTTGTAGCCCAAGTTGGCCTCCAACTTAGGCTAGCTCAGCCAACATATGGAATTCGGGTGTTTACCGCCAGCCTTGGTTAGACCTATGATTTGATCCTAGGTAGTTGTTCTAGAAGACCACTGTACCCATTCATGTAGTGCTGTGGTGGGACTCTGAGGTTTTGTGGTTCATTCTGTCTTCCTTTTTAAAATCCACTCACCACAGACGGGTCTCATGGAATCCAGGCAGCATTCACAACACTTTTTAGTAAAGGGTTCTCTCAAACTCCTGATCTTCCCAGCTCCGTCTTCCAAATGCTGTGATCAGTTGTATGCAGCCATGCTTGGCAGTTTTGTGGTTCTTAGATTATCTCAATTGTATTTGGTGATTGCCAAATTCTAAATGCCAGGAGTCTGAGATTCCCTCAGCTCTCTGGTAGTGGATGGGAGATAGCATTTATTCAAATCCCGTGCTGTTCTTGGCCTTCCTCAGACAAGGACCACAGTGGTACCACCTTCGACAGGCTTTGAACAAGCGGCTGCTGAAGCCAGCCGAGGCTGCGCTCTACACAGATGCTTTCAATAAGGTGATTGATGACTTTGTAACCCGGCTGGACCAAGTGCGGGCAGAAAGTGCATCGGGGGATCAGGTGCCGGATATTGCTCATCTTCTCTACAACTTTGCCTTGGAAGGTACCCTTGCTGGGAGCGGCTTGGGGTAGGAATGGGCCTTAATGGGGATCCTGGGTTCTCAGTCCTCTGTCTCTGCCTGCTGTGACAGCCTCTCTACTTCTCAGCCATCTGCTATATCCTGTTTGAGAGAAGGATTGGCTGCCTGGAGCCCTCTATCCCTGAGGACACTGCCAGTTTCATCAGATCTGTTGGGCTCATGTTCCAGAACTCAGTCTATGTCACTTTCCTTCCCAAGTGGACTCGTCCTCTGCTGCCCTTTTGGAAGCGGTACCTGAATGGCTGGGATAACATTTTTTCCTTTGGTGAGGTGTCCCAGTCTGGAGTCAGGGGAGGATGCTGGGCTTTCCTATGACTTCCTTCACCCTACCTGCTTTTAGGGTGGTTTAAACTCACCCTCCTCTGTTCCCCGATGGCCCCTGCAGGGGAGAAGCTGATTAATAAGAAAGTTAAGGAGATAGAAGCCCAGCTACAGGCAGCTGGGCCAGACGGTGTCCAGGTATCGGGCTATCTGCACTTCCTGCTGACCAATGAATTGCTCAGTCCTGAGGAGGCCGTGGGCACCTTCCCTGAGCTGCTCTTGGCTGGCGTGGACACGGTACATTCGAAAGGCTGACGGAGACCTGGGGCTCCCTGATTTTATCCTGTACTCTTCCCACCCCACCTTCCGACACACTTTTACCTCTCATCCTAGCTTCTGTATCACTGTGGTTGTTTGCTCAGTTGAGGGCAATTCCCTGCGAGGGGAATTCCATCAGTGTCTGGGCCCCCGGATCTCTTTCTGTGTCTCTCTCTCTCTGTGTCTCTGTGCCTGTCTCTGTCTGTCCACCTGTCTCTTTCTTCTTCCCTCTGACAGCTGGGAGATTCCATCCCACAGGATTCCAATTCTCTTCCTGCAGTTTAGGTAGAGAATTGGAAACGTGTCCACAAGCGCCCTCATTTCTAGCATTTTTTTGTGGCATACTCTCTCTTTGTTATAGTCCCCTCTGTGGTTGAAATGCAACCTTCCACCACATTGGTCCCAATTCAACCTGTGGGCTCATGTTTAGCATAGAGATGTCCAGGAAACCTCATCCCTTTTTCTTGTCATCCTGGTAGTAAGCCAGCTTTCCTGTATCCACTCACAGACCCTCCCGCCACTTAGCTAGCCTCTTGCCTAGAAATTACCCCCTTACTTCATCTTCGTCCTCCATTCTCTCTCCTAGACATCCAACACATTGACATGGGCCCTGTACCACCTTTCCCAGAACCCAGAGATCCAGGAGGCCTTGCACAAGGAGGTGGTGGGTGTGGTGCCCTTCGGGACGGTGCCCCAGCACAAGGACTTAGCCAACATTCCCCTGCTCAAAGCTGTGATTAAGGAGACCCTGCGGTAGGGCATGGTGCCACGCGCACAGGGTCTGTATGGGGGTTATAGTCAGGCAGGGATGGAAAGTGGGGACTCCCCAAGGCTGGAGGCTAGGGACAAGGGTCATGTGGGAAGAGAGCACTGGAAAGCCAGGGATGCATGGGATGCCCCTTCACCCAATCTACAAGCAGAGCCTAGACTTTTTCTTTTCCCTACAGCCTCTACCCTGTGGTCCCCACAAACTCCCGGATCATCATGGAAAAGGAGACGGAAATCGATGGCTTCCTCTTCCCCAAGAACGTGAGTTGGGCTAGAGCACCCAGGTGCCCAGGAGTGCCCGCCGCCCTTGCTGATGCCATTCATCCTCCTTAGACCCAGTTTGTATTATGCCACTATGTGGTGTCCCGGGATCCCAGTGTCTTTTCTGAGCCTGAGAGCTTCCAGCCCCACCGATGGCTGAGGAAGAAAGAGACGGACAACTCCAAGATCCAGCACCCATTCGGCTCTGTGCCCTTTGGCTATGGGGTTCGGTCCTGCCTGGGCCGAAGGATCGCAGAACTGGAGATGCAACTCATGTTGTCAAGGGTGAGCAGGGATGGGGGGGAGGCTTGTGTGGGTCAGGCAAGATGGAGAAATGCAGGGAGGGGAGGGGCGGGGCAGGGAGGTCGAGGGGAGGAGCCCAGCCGAAGGAACAGGAAATAGGAGATCAAGATTCCAGTGGCCCCGCCTTCTCTCCCTGCCAGCTGATCCAACAGTATGAGGTGGTCCTGGCTCCCGAGATGGGGGAAGTGAAGGCTGTGGCCCGCATTGTCTTGGTTCCCAGCAAGAAGGTGAGCCTGCACTTTCTGAAGAGACAATCATGAGCTGGGCTCCTGCCTTCATGGGGCTTGTCCAGAAGCCCTGGTACAGCAGTCCCTGGCCAGTCTCACGTCACACGACAGGATGCCTGATTTGACAGGGAAGCTTTATGCCCTTCCCATAGACCCCAAATGTCTGGCGCAATCTTTATTGAACAGCACCCACTCAAGACAGTAGAGCACTTCCTCCTATCACATGGCAATCCTTGGGTACAACTGAAAATAAAATTTTGAATTCAAATTTGGGGAGATTCTTTGTTTTTGTTTTTTCTCACTCGGCATGTGGCCGACCCTCTTTTGTGGGGAATGCCTTTTTGCACCTTAGAATCGTGATGGGTAGCCCTGCTAGACCTACTTCTCGGAGCCTGAGAGTACCACGTGCTTCTGTAGACCTCATTGGCAGACGCATTATGGTCACCCCCAAAAAAGGCACCCTGACAGTCCCGCTTCAGCTGTAGATAGTAAAAGCTACCCACTGGGCACCACGATGAACGCCTATAGCCCCAACTACTCTGGAGGCTGAAGCAGGAGAGCTGATTGAGCCCAGGAGCTTAACACTCACCTGAGCTACAGAGTGGGGGTGTCTATGTGATGTGAGTGGGGACTGGAGTTTGGAGGTCAGTGTTCATAGCCTATACTTCATGTACATATGATCAACAGCATGGCCATATGGTCAACAGTATGAAGATTCCCCTCCTCCCAAAAGAATTAAAAATGGGACTACCCAGCTGGTCATGGAGGCACATGACTTTAATCCCACCACTCGGGAGGCAGAGGCAGGTGGGTCTCTATGAGTCTGATGCCATTTTGGCCTACACGGTGAGTTCTAGGCTAGCCAGGGATATGTAGTGAAACCCTTCCTCAAAAGAAATTAAAGGAGGAGGAGGAGGAGCTGGAGGAGGAAGAGAGAAAAGCAAGCGAGCTGGGGAGATGGCTCAGTGGTTCAGTGGGTGAAATACTTGGTGCATGTGTGTTAATCCCTGAGATCGAGTTTCCAGAACTCATGTAAAGCTGGACAAGGCAGGAACAGTGGAGTGTGCCATCCCTGTACTGCAGTCCCAGGAGACGGGGCATAGAGACGGGAGATCCCCAGAAGCACGACAAGGGAACCCTGTCTCAAACAAGGTAGAAGCAGAGGACCCACGCCTGAGGTTGTCCACTGATCTGCACTGTGGGACACTCAACCTCCAGGCACACACACAATCACACTGCACTGTGGCACACTCACGCCTGCATGCACACACAATGCCGTAAGTAAAATGAAAAGGAATTTTAAAAGATCATAGAAATAAGAATCTACTCTTCCTGTGTTGGACCTCTGGATCTGAGGACCCATGCCATCACGGGGGGTGGATAACGGCAGACGAAGAGACCCAGAATCGACTGAGATTCATTTCTTTGTACTTGGTGAATTGAGTTCATCCAGCACTGCAGGACCAGCTATGTTTCCTGCAGACTCCCATTTGCAGACTGGGTTCCACCTGCTAGGTGAGTAATGAATAAACATTTTCCCTATCATTTTGTTACAAATCAAAGATTAAAAAATATTGGCAGAATAACAACATTTTACGCACAAAAGAAAGGCCATGTGTAGTTTTTGCCAAGTTCAGACAGACTTTCCTTCAAGGCTTTGAATTCAGGAGACACAAGGAGCTGGCCGTAAGTTCATTTCAATGACTGCAGCCTTTGAGTAAGCCTGGAGCATCCAAGGTCAGGGCTTGCTCTTTTGTTTCTTTTTTTCTTCATTGCTCATTCTCAAAGATCTGAATCTATCTGGGGGTAGGGGATACTGAGGGGAGTAGAACATTGCTTACTAGTGAGAGCTGAGGAGCCCACTGGACAAGAGCATCAGAAGCCCTGCTGGGCCTACTTCTTGGAGCCTGAGAGTACCACATGCCTCAGTGGCAGACCCCTTATGGACACCCAAAAAGGGCACCATGACAGTCCCGCTTCAGCTGTAGATAGTAAAAGCTACCTGCTAGGCACCATGATGAATGCCTATAGCCCCAACAGATAGCTCTAGAATCAAGGGCTGCTCAATGTTGGCCGCCAGCAGCTTGTATGATGGTGGTGGCCCAGTGGGATCTTCCACAGGGAAAGAACAGCCAGGCCTCGTGGGAGCTGGGCACGTGTATCCAGAACCAAGCATTCCAGGTGCCCAGCTAAATCCGTAGGCTGCATGCTCCCTGCCACATGGAGCTCAGCCCTGACCCAGGTGGGAGGAAAAGGCTTAAAAAGAGACAGGGCACACAGATTGTCCTAGGCTGATCGCAGTGCCTCTGGTTCAGGACTTTCAGGCTTGACTCGATTGCTCTTAATTTCATCATCCTGGTGTACTGGGCATGCCCGAAGGCCTCTGGGAGTGTAGGTATAGCAAGGACAATAAGGGAAGGCTGGAGAGCCTGTGAGAAAAAGAGGAGACGTTGACCAAATCGGGAAGAGGAGGTGCCCTTCCAACAGGGATCTCACCCTACTGCTAACTGGGTAGGATTTCTGCCCCATCCTTTGGCAATGCACCCCCAACCAAGCATGGTGCCAGGACAGTCCACAATCTGACAAATTCACTGAGATGAGCAGTAGGTGGGCACCCCCTCCTCTGTTAGCCCATACTGATGATAGAAATGCATTCAACAAAAGTTTGTTAGCTTGCTTTATTCTCAAGAAATTCCCAGTGGGAAAAGAGTGGAGAGAAGGCAGCTATACCTTCCCAGAGCTCAGGATTTCCCACCTCCATCCATCCCTTCCAGCAGGATCTCCACAACCTCCGCTGGAATTGAGATGCAGTAGCAGTCTGTAAAGCCTTTGTTGACAGTTTCTATGGGGCTGCTCAATTATGACCGGCATCATTGCCATCCTCAGGGTACCCTAACTAGATCTAGGAGCTCAGAAATACCAAGGGACTACCCTACAGCTCATGGCAGAGCCTACCTGTACCAGAGCAGAACCACCAGCAAACGGGGGTGGGAGAAGATGAAGGCCAAGTCCCCCTAGATCCTTCCATTGGTTTTCAGGTGAGGGAGATGGCTTGGGAGTGGGGACTTGGGCACTCTCAGGCACTGAGGGCATCGATGCCAGCGGGGCTGAGTACCAGCGCTTGAAGTATGTCAGAGAGGGAGACCACGCCCAGAAGATGCTGGGTCTCATCCACCAACACCAGCCTGTGCACCTGTGGGTCCACAGTGTTCAGGGAGGGGCAGAGCCTTTGGCTACAGCAGCTAATAAGGGGGAGAGCTTAAGATAGCTCAAGGAGCAACGGACATCTCCTGGGAACAGCTGGCCGTGGCTTTGACCACTCAGCTGGCTGTGGATCTTGGCATGAGGGCCCTATGAACAGGACCAGACACCTACCCATGCAGATGCCAAAAGTTGGTCTTGAAAGGGAAGGCGGGCCAAGTGCCCAGTATACAGGGATGGCGAGAGCTACGCAAAGAAGAACTAGGCCATCTGCGCTGAGGGCGTGCCCGGAGGGGTGCGAGGTACCTGTTCCCGTGCGATCCTGTCAATGACTTCGCCGAGGCTCTCATGGGGCTGGCAGGAGAGAACCCCCTCCAGACACAGTGTCCTCTGCCTCAAAGCTTCTCCCACACTCATGTCTAGGTGGTTGTAGGTTTGCTGGGCAGCCAGGTGCTGAGGCAGGGGGAAGAGAGTCATGAATTACCTCATTACCTAGGCTGCAGCCTGGAAATGACACTCTGACACACTTGCAAAGGGTAGCCACAGAGACTTCCCATCCGTCCTCATGCCACAGCCTCCCTGTGGCACCCCCAGGCCCCACAGACACTTACAATGACATCAAAGCGGGAGTAGAGCCCCACGACCTGACCTGTAGCGGGGAACGGAGAAGAAAGACAGGGGGAAAAGCCCGGCTCAGAACCAGGGTGCTCTTCAGGGGACATGGGAAAGACTTTTGAAATGAGTTCCTTGATAGTTGCGCCCCCCCCAGGCTGCTGGCTTAGTCATGGGGCATCATGCTGCCCCGACCTACAAATAGACTTAGCATCACTGAGAGACGCCTGACTTCAGGCTCCCGTGAGCTGCAGGGAGAGGATGGCTTCGCCTGTGAAATATGCCAGCCTCATCGTCTACAGACATTAGTCATTTAGTTTCAATTTCTGGTTCACAGGAGCAGGAGAATGAGGCACAGCTACCTCCAGGAGGCAAATGGACAAATCTGGACATGGGATTTTTTTTTAACCCTTTAAACGACATTTGTTTGTGTGTTTGTGTATGTTTGTGTGTGTGTGTGTGTGCATGTGCGCGCCATGTACACATCGGAGTACCGCAGCACACATGTGTGGAGGTCAGAGGACAATCTTTAGATGTCAGTTCTCTCCTATTGTGAGGGTCCCAGGGATTGAACCCAGGTCGTCAGGCTTGGCTGCAAGTGCCTTTCCGTGCTGAGCCGTCTCTGTATCCTTGAAGGTGGGATACAGGAAAACCAATTCAGACTTTTCAAGTGACTTGTGCCATGAAAATGAGTGGAAAGGGAACAGTCTTAGATTTAAACAGACTTCAGGGACAACTGAAGAAATGAGAAATATGGACTTCAGTTGGACTTGGTTTGAACAAGTTGGTTGTTTAAAAAAAATCATTCTTGCCGGGCGTTGGTGGCGCACGCCTTTAATCCCAGCACTCGGGAGGCAGAGCCAGGCGGATCTCTGTGAGTTCGAGGCCAGCCTGGGCTACCAAGTGAGCTCCAGGAAAGGCGCAAAGCTACACGGAGAAACCCTGTCTCGAAAAACCAAAAAAAAAAAAAAAAAAAAAATCATTCTTGGGAGAAATGGGAAAATGAGAATCAGGATTGGAAATTAGGTCGCAATAAGTTATTCATAGTTTTAAAAATAGCTTTTCTCTTTAAAAGAAAATACTTGAAGGGCCAATGAGATGGCTCAGTGGACAAAGGCGCTTGTCAATCCTGACAACCTGAATTTGATCCCTGGAACTCACAGTGGGAGGAGGGGACTGACCCCTGAGAGTTGTCCCCGGATCTCCTCGTATGCGCAGTAGCACATAGGCACCCACATGTGCGTGCACACACACCTAAATAAGTGCAACAGACCCTTTACGTTCTATTGATTATTACTGTGTGTGCCCGTGCCGCAGCATGGATGTGGGGGTGGGAAGAGGACGGTTCTCAGGAGTCGGTTCTCTCCTTCCCTGTGTGTTCTGGGGATAGAACTCGGGTCACCAGGCTTGATTGTTAGTGCTGGTTGAGCCATCTCACCCGCCCAGCTGTTCACAGTTGTGTTGGGAAGTATAAAACATGGTGACAGCCAGGCGGTGGTGGCGCATACCTTTAATACCAGCACTTTGGAATCAGAGGCAGGCTGATCTCTGTGAGTTCGAGGCCAGTCTGGTCTACAGAGTGAACTCCAGGAAAGGCACTAAAGCTACACAGAGAAACCCTGTCTCAAAAAACAAAAAAAAAAACAAAAAAAAAAACAAAAAAAAAACAAAAACAAAAAAAAAAACATGGTGACTGTAAGCCAGACTGAAGTACGTGGGGGTGATATGATCTGATGTTTGTAATTTATTTTTTTAATTCAGAAAAATGATGAACCGGTTATGGCAATATGTTGTTCTCTATCATTTTTATTTTCCTTGAAAGTTTTCATATTTGAGTATAAGTTAAAAGCCCTTTATAATGTTTAACTTCATTCTGGTGAATATAACTTTGTATTACCTCTTTTTAATGCAGTGTATGTAGTGTCTATGTGTGTGTGTTCTCACATGTGTGAGCATGTGTGTGTGTGTGTGTGTGCTTGTGTGTGTGTGTGTGTGCATGCATGTAGGGTGGCTGTGTTCTCACATGTGTGCTCATGTGGGCGTGTGTTCTCACATGTGTGAGCATATATGTGTCTATGTATGTATGTGTGCTCATATGGGTGTGTGTTCTCACGTGTGAGTGTGTGTGTGTGTATGTTCTCACATACGTGGGCATATGTGTGTATGTATGTGTGCACATGTGTGTGTGTGTGGGTGGATGTGTTCTCACATGTGTGGGCATGTGTGTGTGTATGTGTGCTCGTGTGTGTGCGCGTGCGTGCGCGTGCATGTAGGGTGGATGTGTTCTCACATGTGTGAGCATGTGTGTGCTCGTGCTCTCACATGTGTGAGCGCGCGCGCTTGTGTGTGTGTGTGTGTGTGTGTGTGTGTGTGTGTGTGTGTGTATGCTCGTGCATGTGTGGAGGCCAGGGTTGACACCAGGCATCTTCCCCTACTGCCTTCTACTTTGTTCAGGCAAGATCTCTCACTGAACCTGATACCCCAAAATTCAGCTAGTCTAGCTGGCCAGCTCATGTCCAGGGGTCCCCTGCTGCCTCTTCCTGGGCCCTGGGTTTACAGTTAGGCTTCCATCCCATCCCCACTTTTATGAGTGCTGAGGGATCCGAACTCTGGTCTTGATGCTTAGACATGAAGCCCTTTACCCAATGAGCCATTTCCCAGCCCCAATTTTGAAATATCTGTGGCCACAGTCTAACTAAAGAGAGACTCTAGCTGTTCCTTCAACCTTCCTAGAACAGGACATCAAGATCCCATGGTCAAGTTTAGGGTGCACTAATACAAGACAAAAAGGATCTGCTGTTTTCTACTACCGTCGTCATCTTATTGCAGGTAATCTTACCAGTTCTCCTTCAAAGGCAGAAAGGACAAAGAGTCCCCACACATGGGGCATGGTGGTGCACTCCCAAATCCCAGCATGAGGAGGCAGAGGCAGAGGAACTACCATGGGTTTGAGGCCAGTGTGGGTTACATAGCAAATTTCTGGGCTACAGGGTGAGACCCTGTCTCAAAACAACACCCCTGCCCAGAAAAAATTCCCTTTCACAGTAGGGGAAACTGAGGCTCAGAAAGACTAAATAACTGGCCCCAAGTTCAAAGCCAGCAGAGACTTCTAAGACTCTGGCTCCATGTCCTGCCCACATGGTCCTTTCGAGCCCGTCCTTGCCCACCCCAGCTAGAGCCTTTTGCCCTGGGTGTAGTACCAGATTCATTGACCACAGGCAGCGCAGACACACGCCGGTCCACAAAGATGTCCAGCGCGGTCAGGATAGGAGCTGTTTCCAGAACGACAGCCAAATCTCGGAATGTGCCGATGCCCAAATCTTGGATAGTGCGGCAGAGGAAGGAGGGCCGTGGCAACAGGGCACCCTGTTGGGATGGGACGTGGTGGTGATCTCATCAGATCAAGGTGCGCCCAGGGGCTCCAGCTCCCCCCGCCCCATTTGCCTGGGCTGGGACACTTGACCTTCTCCCGTGGCTCCCCGCTTGCTCCCACCATCCCAGGCTCACAAATATGTGCAGGAATTTGAGTAGCCGCTTGTGTGTGAGGATGTAGAGCACAGTGCCGGAGACCGGGTCCAGGACCGGCAGGCGGTGGATTCGGTTCTTGATGAGGGCATAGACAGCTTCAAACAGACTTTAATGAATGAAAGCAGTGAGATTAGGAACAATGCGGGAGAGATCCTCCATCTGAGGCCCCCCGGACAGAGCACCGGGGTCCCCTCATCCCTCTGCTTCCCGGAAGAAGTGAACGAATCCAGGACTGAGTGGGATAGCACCAGGGCACGATCCAAGAGGCTGAGGCAAGATGGCGGGATGGCCTTGATGCCAAGCCTGATGTTCCGAGCTCAATCCCTGCATCCCAGACGGTGGAAGAGAACCAATTCCTGCAAAATGTCCTCTGACCTCCACACGTGCGCCATGATAACACTCACGCACGCACGCACACACGCATGCACGCACGCACACGCACTCACACACTTAAGCAAGCAATAAATGTCACAACAAAAACCTTTGAGACAGACAGATGGGGATGTGCTCAGGCGAACAGAGAAGATGCTTACCTGTCATTGGGAGAGATGGAGACGAGAGGCTTGAAGCAGCCTTGTAGGTAGATCTCTGAAGAAAAACCCAGGGTCCTCAAATTACCTCATCCTGTCTCCTAACACCTTTCCTTCCTGCAGGCACTGGAGGCTTCCCCACGGACTTGTGCTCTCCAGGAAATCCCACCTTCTCTCCCAGGCCTTGGGCCCAGACTCTAACCCCACAGGCTTCTCCAACTTACCCCTCCAGGTCTCAATCTTATGTTCTTCAATCTCGTAGATCTGGACCTAAAGGCATGGGTGCGACTTTAGGGTCAGGCATGAGCCCTGGGGCATTGGGCCTCCTGAAGATGCCCCAGCTCAGCCCAGCCCACGGGATACCCCGGAACTCACCAGGGGGGATCTGTAGTAGCGGTGCAACACCAGGATGAAGTCTGTGATGGTGAGCATGCCTGCAGGGTTGACAGGCGACAAGTTGGGGGGGGGGAAGGTCAGGCCTAGGTGTAAGGCTCCTCGAGGACCCCATCCTGCTGGCGTTCTTACACCATGTGAGGTCCCTCCCGCCATTCCCCAACCCCCTCTCCTCACCCACAAAGCTCTGCTTCTTGCTGTCCCACAGAGGGGCTGCCCTCACGCCGTTGGCCACCATGGCAAAGAAAGCCTTCTTAATCTGAGGGGCAGGAAAGAACAAAGGCGGAGGAGGACCGGCAGCCCCTCAGCCTCCCCCCCCCTTGCTGTCCCCCCCCCCATGGGATCTTCGCTCTGCTTCCTCTCCACATGTGTCTGCCTCTTTCCCATGACAAGACCGCTGTCATCACGTTTACCACACAGAGAAGGCTGCTTGTGCCCAGAGGCACCGAGGGGCCATCATTAGATACAGCAGGGTTTCTACATGGAGGTCGTGTGCATATAGACGTGGTATAGTTTTTGCTCATCTAAGTGCCAGAGGTATAACTATTCACATAACATATGCAGAGCTACAACAATTTCCTCACTACATTTGACGCTGACTTATTTTGATCCTTGTCCTAAGCAAAACTGCCTACATGTGCTGAGCACACTTGGTTCCCATCTTCCCTTTTCTCCCTCCCCATCTCTTCCCTTTCCTTAGCTCTTTTCTCTCCTCTCTCCTGTCCTTTCGTTCTAGGCTTCTGTGATGCTGTTGTTTGGTTTCCAGGCTGGCCTAGAACTTGGGACCCTCCTGCCTCAGCCCCCTCAGGCCTGGGATGACAAGTGTGGGCCGCTGCACCCGACTCTTAGCGCACATCAAGATTAAGCAGAGCTATTAAAATAAAATCTATCCCTCTGTGAAGCACCGGAACCAGATTGCGTTCTGCAGACGACACATGTCCCACGCCTCGAGCACGTAGGCATCTTTTGCCCTGTGCTAATGATGGAGTCAGTTTTGCCTAATGGCAGAGTGGCTACCAAAGCACTTGCTTTTTTTTTCCTGTTGCTGGAGTACCCTCCTCTTGGTCCTGAAGGACTCTGCGACATCTTACACAGTTAACAGAGTATTCTTTCTTTGTCCTGGGTTGTCCTAAGACTCCTTTGAAACAGGGAGGAGCAAGCCTCTGGTCCCCATTTTTAGTGATGATGGAGATGAAGTGACCAACCCCAGGTTTTGACAGATTCAGAGTGACAGAGTTGTGATGGCAATTAGGGGGTCCTCACAGAGCATTCTTTCTCCCTACCCCCCCTATGGCACCAAGGAGTCCTAGAAAGGGACTTGCAGGGACTTCGGCTTGACAAGACATCCATCCAGGAGGGTATGAGTGGTAGCTACAGAGGCAGGAGGCTGAGCCCTGAGCTCAACCCGGGCCAAACCAGGGTCTTACCTCCAGCGCAGTGTCAAAGATGACCAGTTTGGAGCTGGTGGCCATGGCATCATAGCAGGTGTGTTCCTGCATGAAGTGCATATAGACCTGGGCCCCAGGCTTCTGCAACTCATCATCCCAGCTCAAGCTGAGAAGTGGGGCCTGTGGGGATGGGCAAGGCCGAGGCCTGTCCTCCCCCAGGCCTTCCAGCTCACCGTCCCAGGCCTCCGGGTCTGGGAACTCGATGGCCAGCTCCAGGTCCCCTGTGCTGGAACCCACTTCTGAGGCTGCACAGTCGGGCAAGAGGAGGTCCCACCCGCTGGGGGAGGTCTCCACTCCAGCCAAGGGAACGGCTTGAGCCAAGGGTGTGGCCTCCTCGGGGAATGTGGCTTCCTGCCTGGCGGACTCAGCAGCTGGTCTGGCCTGGGCACCTGTTGGGGGAAGAAGGCAGCGAGGAGCAAGCAGCCTTCCTGCATCTTCCAAAGCACGTTCTCGGTGCCTTCAGGGTTTGGCAGCGCTGGGGCGCCCGGATGTTGTGGAGTCTCCGAGTCCTAGCAGACCGCAGCTCTCTTCCATCTTTCCAAGGCCGCCGCATCGGGGCTCTGCGCCGGCAGCACAGTTATTGCCTCTCACGTGGAGAGACGGAGGCCACAAGGATGAGCCTGGTCTGGCTCCATGTGATCTCTGGCGGGGCACCCCTCTGGAATTCATGCTGCCCCCTGTCACTATAACCGACCTTAGCCTCACCTTCTTCCAAACCGGGCGGCTCCACTTCCTCCACAGCCGCCTGCCTTGTCCATCTGGAAGCCTTGACGCCCCGGGTTGCCCGGGTTCTTTCTGGGCTGGTGGTCACAGCTGGTGATGGCCACGAGTTGTCTCCTTGTTCTAGGAAGTCCATCTCCGGAAGGAGGGAAGGACCTGTTCCATTAGGAGGGAGTGCTAAAACAAAACCCAGCACGACGTCATCAGTGACCACTTTGGGGGTTTTCAAAGCACCGCCCCTCTCCCCCCAATAGTTTTCATTTTCTATTCGTAGAAATCTTCCGAGGCAGGGACTGTGAGTAAGAATAGCATTCCTATTTAGCAGCAAGGGACCGGAAGCTCAGAGAGGTTAAGCAATTTGCCACAAATCACACAGCTGGGAAGTGGTAAGGTGAGCACCTGGGGTTCAGATCTTCATCAAAGAGGAAAGGGAAGGTGGGGGGACACACGCTGGGGAAAGGAGGAGGGAGAGGGCCAAGCTAGGGGTTAGGGATTGGGGTTCAGAAAGGTGGGAACCAAGGGAGCTATAGAGAAAAGGCTAGCCCGACAGGAAGCCGCGCCCCCCACCCACCTTGACTCTCTGGACACCCACTGTGGCTCCAGGTCAGGGTCTACGCAAGAGAATATCTGAATTGTTGTGAAAATGCTTCCTGTTCTGAAGCCCCTGGGTTGTCCCCTTTAAAAAACCCACCTATCCACACACCACGTGTATGCACATATGCACAACATACATGCTTGCACACTCCTGGCACACCCAGAATCCCACACAGGCACATACACGCAAAATACATACATACATACATGGAACCGGCCTGCTCACACCTACAGAGTACAGTGCACAGCAAGCTCATGGGACACACACACACACACACACACACACACACACACACACACACACACACACTTGCTGTCTCCCTACATCCCAGCGCCGGCCCCCTGGGACCCCGGTACCCCAGGCAGTGTGTGTTCCAGCTCAGACTCCATGCGGCCAGCCCTAAGTCCGCTAGCGAGTGCGCGACAGGCGGCGGTGGTGGCGGGGTGGCAACTATTCTGGGCTGGCCCCTGGCAGCGGGCCCTCGGGGATCGGGTTCTCTCTGATTGTCAGGTCTTGGGAGGGAGCGCTCAGCCCGCAGCTGTTCCCTCGCCGCGGCTTGGGGGCGCTGCGGAGGCGGAACTCTCATCTCGCAGCTGAGAGTTCAAAGGAGAAAAGTTGGCCATCTTCACTTTCTCCTCCACGCACACCTCCCTAGCCAAGGATGGGATGAGTTAGGAAGGATACACTCGAGACTGTGAGGGGGTTGTGGGTGGTCCTCATAGAGCAGCCAGGGTATGTCTCTGACATCCCCTTTTGAGTGCCGCCAACCAGTTTCCCTTCTTAGGTGAAAGAGGGAAGTGATGGGGAGGGCGGGTCAAGCAGGTGGGCACTCTGCTGATCATCTCAAAGGTGCAAGATAGGATTGAGAGCGTGGGCTCACATCGGTGTGCAGAGGGAGCAACCCCTGAGTCGACGCGTGGGTGAGAGATGAGGGGCGTGCAGGAGCCCAGACCCAACCCACCATGAGCACCGGCTGTGCGTCTTCCTGTGCCAGAGGGGAACCCAGCCTATCTCCCGTGGTGGCAGCTCACCCCCTTCCTTGGCATTCCTAGGGCCTGAGTCAGAGTTCCAAATGGGGACCGCTGACCCAGCTGCCTTGGCTCCCCTCTCCCTGGCCCTCCCCTCCCCTTGTCATTCCAGTCCCTTCCATCCGGACCCCCTGGCCCTAGAGTGAACACTCAGGAACGGACTATTGGATTTCCTGCTGGATTTATTGGACGTATTTCCTTTCCTCCATCAAAGCACCTGCAACTTCCCCTGAGGAGGGTGGAGAAGTGTGCAGGGCGGAGGCTTTGACTTTTCATGAGTGTTCCTGGAGCCTGGATCCGTTGCCAGAGAGCGGAATCTCTGAGGCCCAGCAAATGGGGCCACGTCAAAGAATGGGAGGCCATCAGCATGTGCTCTGCTCTGTAACTAGGCATGACAGACGACAGTCATACCTGTCACAGTGTGTGGAAATGTGACAATGGCCCACAGCTTGCTGGTGTGCAATGTTTTCCTTGCTGGCTGCTAGTCAGTCTCTAAACTAGTATTTGTTTTAGGTTTTCAAGTAGCATCACTTCCAAACACAAAGTCAGGATAGATAGTTGGTTGCTGTAACAAAGACCCAATTTAAGAATGCCTCAGATGCCGGGCGGTGGTGGCACACGCCTTTAATCCCAGCACTTGGGAGGCAGAGGCAGGCGGATCTTTGTGAGTTCGAGGCCAGCCTGGTCTACAGAGTGAGATCCAGGAAAGG